ACTCATGAAATCTTTGAGATATCGGTATTTGTATATAAATGCTCAAATGTGTTTTTATGCAGCTCATTTTTCGCTTAAAATTTTTTCTAATTAAATAAATGAGATTTTCATATTGAAATGATTAGTTTCACAATCCCTACTTCTGATTCTCAAAAAAATGTGGCAAATCATATGGACAAATACCGAAAATATAGGAAAAGTTCATGAGAAATTAAATACTTAATAATTTGCTGTCTAAACATGGCAATAGTAAACATGAAAATATTCCTTCCTCAAGTTTCCCAATAAGAAACTGAATTTAATAAAAAAAAATCACGTAATTATCTAACAAAGGAAGCAAATCAACATGTGGCCCAATAGCTTTACTTGTCAAAGGGAATGTAAACGGAGTATGACTTTGTTTATGAAAGCCCATAACGGTTATGTTGCATTTCGTCTCTCTCTCTCTCTCTCTCTCTCTCTCTCAATATTCTTCTCTTGCAATCAATCTCTCCTACATATTTTTACTGCATCAAGGAACTGATTACCTTGTCATACTCCAAAAACAGAGAGAGAGAGAGATCAAACCCGTGAGCTGCAAACCACTCTATTTTTGGACAACCGCCTTAAATGAAGCATTAAAACGACATTCATAAGTCAATCCCCTTCTACAAATGCACCAAACATCCCATGAAAGTTGACCTACTTTGATTTGTCCAAAAATCGAAATTAAACCAAAAACCAGATGCCTTCACATAGCCATTTAATTCCGAATCAGGTTTAATTCCAATGTGAAGCAGTGAATTAGGCAATTCTGTTGTGGAATAAGTACATACTGGTGGTGGCTGGTTGTGGGTCTGTCTGTCTGTCTGCTGGTGCTAGCTGGCTGGCTGGCATACACTGCAAATGTCAATCACTCGCAGAGGACGACGACGACGATGCATGCCAGTGTTGGGGTTGTTGTTTGTTTTGTTAATGATGATGATAATGGAAAAGCATTTATGCCAGCAGTTTCATGTGTGTATGCGCCTGTTTTTGCACTTGTTGTCAATTATAACAGCTGTTGCACATTGATTAAAATATTGCATCGAAAATATGTAATTTAATTTATGAGGTTAAAGTGGTGCCAAGTATTGTTGAATATGGAATGTGTTAAATCAGAATTTAAAAAAAAATTGCACAATTTTTTCAATTTTATTTTTTAGAAATTTTTGGGATTTGTTTTTCGAAGACAACAATTTTTGGAAAAAAAAATATAATATCAATATAAAATAAATTAATTTTTAAAGGCCAACATTTCATCTTCCATTTTCCAAAGTTTAGTAAATATATCTAGAAAAATTTCAGAGACATCTAAAAAATAATGCAACCATCAAATTTTCAATAATTTTAGATTTCTTTTTTGTAAAGCTATACTCGTGGCCATAACTTTTGAAATAATTATTGTATTGACAAGAAAAAAATTGCTTAGGAAAGAGAAAAAAGTGTTCCAACATCTCACCAAGTTTCATCTTTGTAGCTAACCAAATACCAGAGATATCGCCATATCTACACATGTGCCAAAATTATGCAAGATTGAGTAGTTTTTGCGTTAACAAATTCCAGAGGCCACAACATTTATAGTTAACGGCGTTGAAAATTTAAAATACACTTTTCGGAAAAAACAACGACTCTTTAGCAAATTCACAAATTTTGGTAGATGTCACTAATCAACTTCTAGAGATATAGAGGAAAATCTCAACAGGTATTCGAATTTTGCTATGTGAGATATTTTTTCTGCATTCACACTCCAGATGCCATAACTTTTTAAATAATCGAAATTTTTAAACAAAATATTTTATTTTTTAAAGAACAATGACTGATCTTCAAATCTGCAAAGTTTTATTAGTGTAGCTAATTAACTACCTGAGATATTGGAAAATGAAATCAAGCTTCAGAATTTTTCACTATAGAGCATTTTATCTGCATTCACATTCCAGAGGCCATAACTATTTTATATAACGGCGTCTTAAAATAAAAATACAATCTATTGAAAGAACTGATCTTCAAACCTGCAAAATTTCATTAGTGTAGCTAATTAAATACCAGAAATATTGGAAAATTAAAAGAAGTGTCAGAATTTTTCACTGTAGAGCATTTTATCAGCATACACATTCCGGAGGACATAACTTTTTTAGAAATCGGCGTCTTAAAATGAAACGGCATGTTTCTGAAAGAGCATAGACTGAGCATCAAACTTGCAAAGATTTATTTGTGTAGCTAATTAACTCTCAGAGATATTGGAAAATGTAAACAGGCTTCAGAATTTCTCACTATAGAGCATTTAGTCTGCATACACATTCCAGAGGCCATAACATTTTCAATAATCGGCGTTTTAAAATGAAACAGCATATTTTTGAAAGAGCAAAAATCTGAGCTTCAATCTTCCAAAGATTTATTTCTGTAGCTAATTAACTACCAGAGATATGGGACAACCTAAGCAAGTGTCAGCAATTTACAGCACATAGCTTTTCATTCCGTATTGAAACTCCAGAGGCCATAACTTTTTAAATAATAGGCGTGTTAAAATAAATGCACTTATTTTAGAAAGAGCACTGACTAATATTCAATCCTGCGAAAGTTTGTTGGTGTAGCCAATCTACTACGAGAGATATTGAGAAATAAAAGCAAGTACCAAATTTTTATATTTTTGGGTGTTTGGCAATTTGTTCTGCTATTACATTCCAGAGGCCATATCTTTTGAAATAGACGGCGTATAGAATTACATATTTTGACAAGAGCGATATCTTGGCTTTATACTGATAAAGTTTAGTTAAAGTAAATAATAAAATTCTCTAGATATTGGACAATATGCAATATTACCCAAATTTCCCGTTCTTAGAGGTTATTTCGGCAATCACATTCCAGAGGCCATAACTTTGCAATTGGTCGGAGTAACATGTTCAAATAAAAGAAATTGGATCTAAGAAAGAATAATTGATCTCTAGAATCTCATTTTTTATGTTATTCGATAAACAATCGATTTATTTGAGTAACTTAGTAAAAAAGCAAAAAAAATATTTTGATTATTTTTTCAGTACTGCTCTTCCAAAGGCTATAACTTTTAAAGTGTTTAGGATATCGTCTTGAAACAAATTGCTCGTGGAAGGACATCGCCTAGTCCTTAAGTTTACAAAGTTATGTTGATAAAGTTCAATAAATAACGGAAATATGAAGAAAATACCAAATGAGACACAATTACCAATTTTTTTGCATTTTTTCCGTAATCCCATTCCAGAGGCCATTACTTCTTTTGTGATCGGCGTATGACATAAAAGTCACATGTTTATAAGAGAGCAAGGTACAATCTTTCAATTCACCAAGTTTTGTTGATGTAGCTCTCGAATTATGAGAGATATGGGAAAATTAATACAAATCTCAGAGTTTTACCACGTTGATCATATTTTTCGCACTTATGTTCTAGAGGCTGTAACTTTGTGAAAAATCGGAATATCTTCATGAAATGGTGTATACTTGCAAGAAATAAGTCTAATCTTCATATGGACAACGTTTTATTTATGTAGCTAATGAAATTGCCAAGAAATTGCACAAAATACAACATAACCTAAAATGTTCATATTTTGGGATATTTTACGTAATCACGCTCCAGAGCTTTTTAGATTAACGGCGTAGCGCCGTAAAATAAAATAAATAGGAAAGAACACATCCTGATCTTTTTTTAAACGCAAATTTAAGCTGACATATCTCAATAAATTCCAGAGATATTGCATAAAGTAAGAAATTACCCAAAATTTAAATGTTTGGTAATAATTTTAGTAATCACATTCCGAAGCCTGTAACTTTAAAAGTATACGGCGTAACTGTATAAGTAAGTACATTTTTTAAAGAGCAATGCTTGATCAATAAACTCACAAAAATTTGTTGATATTGCTTACCAACTAAACGAGATGTCGGCAAAAATGACCAACTCAAAACTTTCAAATTTTTGCTATATTTTCCGTCATCGATTTCTGCTGGCCATATCTTTTGAAGGAATCGTTGTATTTTAGTGAACTTAATTTTTATCGAAGAATTAAAGTCTTCACTATGAGCCGGTGCAATTATGGGGATGGAGCTGGTGAAATGTCTGAATTACCGCCAAAAAATCACAACTACCCAAAATTTGCCAAATATTGCCATGTATTTCGGAACATGTTACAGAGGCCATAACTTTTGAAATAATTGATGTATTTTTATGATTTAAATTAATTTTGAAAATAGGAAATCATAGCTTTAATTTATACAAATTTACTTTATTGTATCAAGATACTTTTATTTATTTTTTCGTAATTTTATTAACTCAATTTTTAAAAACGTATTTACATATACCCATGAATATTATTCAATTATATTTTTTTAATCTATAGATTTAAAATCTTGTTATTTAATCCTATGAAATTTTAAATACCTAATATCATTTATAGAACAGAGAAAAAATAAAGAAAATATATTTACATAATTTTATCCCAAACTATTTTATGAAATTGTAGTCTAAACTAACAAGATATATCATACCTACATATATATGTATATGCCTAAATGTAAACGTAAATAATTTTAATATTTTATTCTCTAAAACGATTTGATGTAAATGTATACTAAATCTAAATAAAGCTAATAAATAAAATTTATTTAGCAAAAAAAAAAAAAAAAAAAAACTGCAAACGTAAGCCTAGTCTAAACTGTGTTTTATGGACGGAAAGGAGGAAGGTGTACATTTATTTATTTATAAGTTTTTTTTATTGCATCCATCACTCATTTCATCTATTTTATGTTCAATGCACTGCATATGTACTCACTATTATCTAAGCTCACCTGTTTCTATATATATTTTATGTTATGGGTTTTAAAGACTAAAACTGTGGTTGGAGTTGAGGGGCGAAAGACAAGGAATCAAAGCTCTCTTCTTTTATTTTTAATTTTTTCTTTCTATCATCAATCATCATCGATTTTTTTGTTTTCTTGTTTTTTCATCATTTTAGGTGATTTTCGCAAGCTGAAAGTTATTCGTGCCGATAATGCGGAAAATATTGAGAAAAATGGCGGCTTTTTAACGCCAACCAAATTTGAACATCATAATTTTACTGCCATGGAAAAGTTAGTATGAACACTTTACTTTAAATTAAGTTATTATGAAGCAATCACAATTTGATGTATGGCTAGGCAACTTTAAGGCAATTTGCAATAATTAGCTGGATTCACACGGTGGGGAAATTTTCTCTTTATCAAGGTAACTGGCCACACAACAATTTTGCCTTTAGGCATTATTGCAATTCGTTTAAAATAATGGGAGGTATTTTTATAAAGGTCATAACTTTTAAAATTCTCGATTTCCATGAATTAAATTTTCTGATATTGGAAGAAGATAATGTATTCTATCAATTAATGTCAAATATGTCACATATAACTAAACAAATCTCAGAGATATTGTAAAAAAAGAATAAGTATGTCAAGTTCAAAGGGTTTAAGGTTTAGTTAAGTGACAATGTCAAGTGGGCATATCTTGGAAGGTAATAGATTAAACTTGGTCAAAAAAAATTATTTTAAGAGAAGAGCATGTTGTCTCTAATTTGAGGACAAATTATGTTGATGTAGCTAAATAAATACCAGAGATATCGTATCAAATGGAGAATCGACAACAATTAAAAAGTTTTAAGATTTTTCGAGATCAAATTTTTGAAGGGTCATAACTTTGCAAGTAATGGGGTTATTGCAACAAATTAAAATGATTCTAAATAAGGGACATCTCCTGTTTAATTTGAAGATGAAATTTACTGATGTAACTTACCAAATACCCGAGATATCTGCAAAATTTACAAAAGCACAAAAATAAAAAGTCTTTCGAATTTTTTCCGTAATCGTTTTTCGGAATGCATATCTTTTTACGTAGTGGAGATATCCTTACAAAATAAGGTCATATTGCAAGAACGATATATTCTCCTTCAGCTGATGACAAATTTAGAGGATATAGGTCATCAAATATAAGAGATATTGTATTAATTAAGGAAGTGCTTTAAACGTGCAATTTTTTGCATTTTCTTAGACAACATTATTTGGGGGTCATAACTTTTGTAGAGGTTAGTCTATTTTTAATTTATTTTCCGATTATAAAAAGACAAGACCTCCTCTTTTAATTGCTGTGCAACTTTGTTGTTGCAGCTGGTCAACTACCCGAGATATGACCAAATTTAAACAATTACCTTGGTTTTGAAAATTTTTAAGATTTTTTCAGTATTCACAATCTACAGGTTCTAAGTTGTAAAATAATACTCTTAGCCCAGAGAAACGAATTAATATCTTAAAAAGCATGGTTCCTCTTTAAGTTGATGCCAATTTTTGTTGATTTATCTTACCAAATACCTGAGATACGACCAAAATTCAACAGGTGTCTTAAATTTTATTTGTTTAGGTTTTTTTGGGCAATCGTCATCTAAAGGTCGTAACTCTGGAAATAATAGGTCTAGCAGGACAAATTTAAATGATTTAGAACAAGGGAAGTCTTCTCTTTACAATAATACCGAATATTAGTAATGTAACCGTAAAAATACTCAAGTTATTGTAAAAATAAAATCAGGGCCCGAAAATTATAATATCTTGATTTTCCTCAGTAATAGGTTTCTTCAGGCCATAACATCAGATATTATGGTTTTATCTCAATTGCATTTGACATTTTCGGAAAGAATCTCATCTCCTCTTTAATTTGGTGTTGTAAAAGTCGTCATAGCTAAAAAAATACGAGAGATATTCTACAATGTTAACAATTACTGAAAATTTACATTTTTTCTGTTTTTCTCAGAAGCTATTTTCGAGAGCCCATAACTTTTATCACAATTGTTTTTTCTCATAAAATAAATGAATTATAATGGAGAGAGACATATTTTCCTTAAAATTGTCAAATTTGGTTGATATAGCTGCAGAAATACCGGAGGTATCTGGCCAATTATACATCAATGTCAAAATTGGAAATAAGCTATTTTTTCGGTAATTGTTTTCTAGAGGCCATAACTTTTTTTTATTAATGGGACTATTTGAGTACAATCTTTTATTATAAGAAAGGAAGACCTCCTCTTTAGATCGATGTAAAATTTTTAGAACATAGCTGGCCAAATACCAGAGTTATAGTAAAAAATTATCCAATGCCCAAAAATAAATAATTTTTCGATTTCTTTTGTAATCTTTTTCTTGGGTCTTTAATAATTAATGAAATATGTTTAGCTTTGTAAAATCCACTTAAATTAAGAAGGGGACATCCCATCTCAAGTTCTATTTCCCATTTTGTGTTTGTATCCGACCAACTACCAGAGATATCTGGAAAATTTTACTAAGGATCCCAGTGTAATTTTTGTAGGATTTTTTCTGTTTTCATTTTCTTGAGCCCATAACTTTAAAATTATTATTTCTTTCTTAATAAAACGTTAAGAATTAGCTAGAGTGGAATCTCCTCTTTCATTTGATATCCAATGTAGATGATATAGCCTCAAAAATGCCAGAGATATGGTAAAAATTATATAGTTACTTAAAATTTTTAATTTGTCTCCTTAGCCATTGTGAATGTTCAGTGTTGCCAATCTAGCGTTTTTTCCTATTCTATTTGTCCCATTAATATATCTCACTTTCCTTCTGCAGATTCCTACGTGACATAGCCGATTCATATCCGTCCATAACAAGACTGTATTCCATTGGTAAATCCGTCCAAAATCGTGATCTATGGGTTATGGAAATTTTCGCCACTCCGGGACAACATGTGCCCGGAGTACCAGAATTCAAATATGTTGCCAATATGCATGGCAATGAAGTGGTGGGCAAAGAAATGTTGCTCCTGCTCACGAAATACATTTGCGAACGTTACAATTTCGATAATCGCATAACAAAAATGGTCAACACGACTCGCATGCATTTCCTGTACTCCATGAACCCCGATGGCTATGAGATGTCCAAAGAAGGTGATAAATCAAGTGCTTTGGGTCGTGCCAATGCCCATAATGTGGATTTAAATCGTAATTTCCCCGATCAATATGGTACGGATAAATATAATAAGGTGACGGAACCCGAAGTGGCCGCTGTAATGAATTGGACCTTGTCCATTCCCTTTGTGTTGTCGGCCAATTTGCATGGTGGCTCCTTGGTGGCCAATTATCCATTTGATGACAATGAAAATGATTTCAATGATCCCATGACAAGGTTGCGCATGGCCAATGGGGCCCATAAACTGAATCCCACAGAGGATAATGCCTTGTTCCAACATTTGGCCAAATTGTATGCCGATGCCCATCCCACAATGCATTTGGGCAACCCTTGTCCGCTCTTCAAGAATGAGCATTTCCCTGGCGGCATTACAAATGGCGCCCAATGGTACAGTGTCACGGGTGGCATGCAGGATTGGAATTACATTAAGGCTGGAGTTATGGAATTGACATTGGAATTGGGTTGTGATAAATTCCCCATGGCCGAGGAATTGCCAAAATTCTGGCATGATAATCGAGAACCTTTGCTGCTGTTCATCGAGCAGATACACAATGGCATACGGGGCTCCATAAGGAGTTCAATTGGTCACCCTGTGGCAGGGGCTGCCATAATGTTGGATGATGCCAAGCATGCCACCTACAGTGGTGTGTATGGAGATTATGTGAAATTGGCGTTGCCAGGGGTACACAATGTTACCATATTGGCGGATGGGTAAGTTTGGGCGGGATTTCTTTAATTCTATACATTTTTTAAAAATATATTCTCTTTCTCTCTTATTTGTAGCTTCTCACCCCAACGTGAGTTGGTGGAGGTGCCGGCCAAGGGCCAAATCCATTTAGACATAACCCTAATGCGTGACGATCCCCAACACTGGGCCTCGGCCAATGATTATCGCATCATTGAGAATGTCGTCCACACTCGTTATCATTCTAATGCCGAACTGAGAGCCACCTTGGCCGAATTTGAGGCACGCAATGGCCAAATAGCCACCTTTGGTTATGCTGAATCGGAATTTGGTTTCTATTATAATTCCATAAAGCTAACAGCTGATGTAAGGTTTCACATTTCGAAATTATTCCGCCGAATATTAATTGAACCTTTTTTTTTTGCAGATCGGTGCTCCCGAAGAAAGTAAATACAAAATTCTTATAATGAGTTCCTTTTTCGATTCGGCCTCACCGCTGGGTCGTGAAATTTCGATGAATTTAATTCGTCACGTCATTGAGGGCTATAAATTGCGAGAACCCTTGATTTTGAAGCTGTTGCAGACAAGTGTTTTATATTTCCTGCCCATAACGGAAAATTTCGATGCCGTCTTTAAGCTATACAATAATAAGTAAGTTTTGAAAAGAATCTGGAATATTCTAGATGATCGTCAGCTGATGGTAATGCCATGTTCCCAAAGGGAAAATAATCGTCAGTTGATGGTGAGAGGAAAAGTAATCATCAGCTGATGGTGATGCCATATTTTAGTAGGAGAAATAATTTATATCCTATTGCCATGTTTCCACAAGAAAAGTAATCGCCAGATGTGTATAATACCATGTTTCAAAGAGAAAAGTAATCGTCAATTGATTTTGATGTCATGTTCCCAATGGGAAAAAATAATCATCAGTTGATGGTGAAGGTATTTCTCTATTCGAAAAGTAATCGTCTATGAGAAAAGTAATCGTAAGCAGAGGGTGATGCCACTTTTCAGTGGGAGAAATAATTGATAATCTATTGCCATGTTCCCACGAGAAAAGTAATGGCCAGCTGTGTATGATGCTATGTTCCAAAGGGAAACGTAATCGTCAATTGATATTGATGTTATGTTCCCAATGGGAAAAGTAATCGTCAGCTGAAGGTGATGCCACTTTTCAGTGGGAGAAACAATTGCCATGTTTTCAACAGAAAAGTAATCGCCAGCTGTGTATGATGCCATGTTCCAAAGGGAAAAGTAATCGTCAATTGGTGTTGATGTCATTTCCAATGGGAAAAGTAATCGTCAGCTGATGGTGCTAGAGTGGGAGAAATAATTTATAACCTATTGCCATGTTCCAAAGGGAAAAAGGAATCTTCAATTGATGTTTATGCCATGTTCCCAATGGAAAGATTAATCGTAAGCTGTTGGTGATGGCACTTTTCGATGAGAGAAATAATTTCATGGTAGAAGAATGCAGATAGATACATCAACGTAACATTGATATGTCAAAAATGTTTTTTTCCTATTCCAAAATTAGTTTAACAATTCATTGTCTTAGTGGGAGAAATAATTTATAACCTATTGCCATGTTCCAAAGGGGAAAAAGTGATCGTCAATTGATGTTGATGCCATGTTCCCAATGGGAAAAGTAATCGTCGCTGATAGTGATGCCACTTTTCAGCGAGAGAAATAATATCATGGTAGAAGAATACAGGTAGATGCCTCAACGCAACATTGATGTGTCAAAAATGTTTTTTTTTTTTCAAGATTTTTAACGAATTTGAATAATTTTTCATTCAAAAATTTTAATTCTAAAATTGGTTGGACAATTCATTGTCCCAGCAGCTGTGTCGATGCGACTACCTAAATTCTTCTACCATGAATAATTTATAACCTATTGTCATGGTCCCACGAGAAAATTAATCGCCAGATGTATGTGATGTCATGTTTCCAAAGGAAAAGATATCGTCAGTTGATGGCGTTGACATGTTCTGTGTGTATGATGCCACGTTCCAAAGGGAAAAGTAATCGTCAATTGATGTTGATGTCATATTCCCAATGGGAATGTAATCGTCAGCTGTTGGTGATACCATGTTCCCATGGAAAAAATTATCGGCAGCTGTTGATGATGTCACATATCTCTGGGAAAATGTATAGTCAGCTATTAGCGACGACCATTTTCTATGCGAAAAGAATCGTCAGGTGTTTGTCATTACATTTTTCCATTGAAAAAAGAAATTTCCAACTATTGGTAATGCAACCCTTTTTTTAAAAAATATAGCTCCAGACATATGAAAGCGAAATGAAAGCATGTTCGCATGAGAAAAGTTATCGGCAGCTGTTGTTGATGCCACATTTCTTGGAAAAAATTTATAGTCAGCTGGCGACGACAAATCTCTATGGGAAAAGAATCGTCAGACTTTTGTCATGCCACTTTTCCATTGAAGAAGTAATTGTCAGTCATTGGTGGTGCTGGCTTTTTTTGTAAAAATATAATTTAAAAAAAATTAATGTGACCTGTCTCAAAACAAACTGAGCATCAAATAGTGAGGAGAAAATATTTCATTCGATAAAAAATCAGCTGATAGGGAGCTTTTCAATTAAATCAACTTCAGTTCAAACTAAAAGATTCTACAGATCATAATAAAAGATTCTGACGATCACCTTGTCAGCTGATGGTAATGCCACGTTCCATGGGAGAGTATTGTCAGCTGTTGGTGATGCCAATTTTCTGTGGAAAAATAATCAGCTGTTGATGATACCATACTCACAAGGGAGATGTATTCGTCAATTGATGGTGAAGACACTTTTCTTATTCGTGATACTATGTTCCTACGGGAAGAGAAATCGTCAACTGCTTTTATGTCCCATTTTTCTGGGAAAATTTATCGTCAGCTATTGGTGTTGCCAATTTTTTATAGGAAAAGAATCGTCAGCTTTTTGTCTTGTCATTTCGCCATTGAAGAAATTATTCTCAGCTGTTTGTTATTCCATGGGAATATAATTCAGCTGTTAGTGATGTCTTGGTGTCATGTTCCCATGGGAATAACAATCGTCAACTCTTTGTCACATTTATCTGGGAAAATTTATCGACAGGTATTTGTGATGCTATGTTCCTAGGGAAAATAATCGTCAGCTGTTTGTCTTGCCATTTTTCTTTGGAGAGGTAATTTTCAGGCATTGGTGATGCCACTTTTTTTATAAAAAAAAAACTAGCTTTAAACAAATTAATGCGATTTTTCTTAAAGCAAACTGAGCACCAAATGATGAGGAGAAAATATTTCATTCGATAAGAAATCAGCTGCTCGGGAGGTTTTCTATTACATCAACTGCAAATCAAACTGGAAGATTCTAGAAGGCAAGGTGATCATGAGCTGATGGTAATGTCATTTTTCCATGGAAAAAGTACTGTCAGATGTTGGTGATGTCAATTCTCTGTGGGAAAAAATCGTCAGCTGTTGAGGATACCATGTTCCCATGGGAAAGATATTCTATAGTTGATGGTGAAGGCACTTTTGTTATTTGTGATGCTATGTTCCGACGCTTCCTTAAAAAATCTTAGTCTAAAATCATTAAAGGCTTTTTTTGACTGGCTTAAACCACCAGCTGGTTTATTCGTAGAGGAACAAAGGAGTTTTAGGTTGATTTAGTTCGATGTTGATCCTACACGGCTTTCTTTTTTCCCGAAGAACCCAGCTGATGACTTAAGCCAGTCAAAAAAAATTATATGTCTTTTTTTAAAGAATAAATATCCATCAGCTGTTAATTTTTGGAAAAAGTAACCATCAGCTGTTAATTTTTGGAAAAAGTAACCATCAGCTATTAAAGAGTATTTCCTATAGGAAAACCAAACCCTGGATATAACCCCTTTTCTTCAAACAAAAAGCTTTAACAGCTGATGTTTACATGTTTACATTATTTGTTTTATTCACTCGCTTTCATTTATTTTCCAGCAATACCATTTGTGATCCTGTCATTGGCAATGAGTTGGGAGAACGCATTTTAAGTCCGGAATCGGAAAAGAGAAGAGATTTGCTGTTGACATTTTTGGAAAATCAAAGATTTGATTTAATGCTCACCTTCAGTACAGGCTCCTCCGAGTTGTAGTAAGTTTTGCAAAATAACCTAAAATTCAAGATAACCTCAATTCAAATTTTCTTTTCTCCCTTTCTTTTCAGTTATCCCAAGGGCGAACAAATCTATGAGAAATTTGCTCACAATATTGAAAATACCGAATTCAATTATTCTCCCCTACAATGTGCCGCCACATCGACCCATACCCTGCGCCATGACATTACCGAACGCCTGACGAATTTATTCTATAAAATGTATAATATACCCATGTTCACACTAGGCCTGTCATGCTGTAGTATGCCCGTGCAGAAGGACATCACTTCGGTGTGGCGTAAAAATATTGAAAAGCTAAAGAATTTCTTGCATTTGGTCGATACGGGAGCGGCAGGTTTTGTACACAATCGCGAGGATCAGCCGCTGAGGGAGGCCTTTATACGGATAATTGAACATCAGCCGGTGTATAATGTTAGTCGAAATGCAGCCCACTTCCAGTTGATATTGCCCGAGGGTCTCTATGCCCTGGAAGTGAGTGCTCCCAACTATGAATCGCAAGTGGTTAAGGCCGAGGTGAAACATGGAAAAATTAACAATTTGGGTATCATAAAACTAAATCCCTACACCCTGATTATGGGTCACAGTGAAATCCAGCCATTGGGTAGATTGGGAAATGATTTGGACACAACAATGATATCAGGTTTTGTGCTGGACATGTCCAATCATCCCATAAAACATGCCAAGGTATCGGTGATCAAACCGATTGTGAAATATTTTGTAAAGAATTTCACCGACAGCATGGGTAGTTATATTTTGAAAAATGTTCCCTTGGGAGAGATAACCCTGAAGGTGGAGGCGCCACGTTATATGGAAACGGTGCGCCTGGTTAATGTCATCTCTGCGAATAAAGAGGTGAAAAATGTGGTCTTCCGTTTGACTCGCAACGAACATGTCATGGGTATGCCAAGATTTGTGTTTATCCTGCTGGCCAGTTTGGTGATTATTACGGCTGTGGTTATGTGCATTCTTTGCACCCAGTGTTTATTGGCCCGACGCCGACGTACCGATAAGCCTTATTACAATTTCTCTCTACTGCCACAAAAGGGTAAAGAACTTTTCGAAGACGATGGCGATGATGGGGAAACGGAGCTGTTTAGATCACCCATTAAGAGTAAGAGAGGATATTTTTCTTTGCTGTGTAATTTTAATTATCTCTTCCATCCATTTTCCAGAGGGCATGACCATTAAACCCTATTTTGATGATGACGATGATGACACAAAACGTATCATCCATTCCGATGATGATGAGGAGGAGGAGGATATCCATTCGGGTATTGGCATAGATCCCGATGACAGTGGCGAAGAAATTGTTATGCTGGACAAGGCTCTCAATCATCGGCATCATTAGCCGCCACAAAATTGATAACCGAACTGTGATTTTGGTATGCTAAAAGGTATTCAACATTTTTGATTAGGAAAATAGGGAAGAAGTGGCGAATGGAAAGCAGAGGAGTGTAGATTTTAAATTGAAATAGTGCCTGGCTATGAGGAAATGTCATTATCGGAGAACATCTATAACATTTTTACTTAAAAAAGGTATTGAGACCCATGTAAACCTAGCCTTAGGGATTAGCAAGGTTATTGTGAATAATATTTTTATCGATAATATCGATTATGGCAGGAATGTAATCAAATTAGACTATTGTGATTGAAACCAAAGCATACATTGTTGTTGATGTTATTACGCTATTAATTCACAATTGCTTGCATTTTGGAATGGTAGAAGAATACAGGTAGTCGCATCGACACAGTTTCTGGGACAATTAACTGTCAAACCAATTTTCGAATTGAAAATTTTCAATAAAAAATTATTGAAATTTGTAAAATCTTTTAAAAAATGAATATAATAATAACCTACGATTGGCTTCGTATAAGAAAAATATAAAAATCTAACTATTTTTTGACAAAAAAATTTTAAAAATTTACATAGCAATGTTCCCAAGCTTTGCTGCATCTGCCTATAATCTTTATCATGATTACTACTTAAAAAATTCCATTGAGGCCCATGTAAATCTAGCCTTAGGCATTGGTAAAGTTATTGTGAATTATATTTTTATCGATAATATCGATCATGACAGTTATGGAAGCAAAGCGAAATATTGTGATTGAAATGCCCTTTAGTGACTGAAAGGATCTCATTGTTGATGTTTTTACTCTATTAATTCACAATGGCATGACTTATTAGATGTAATAAGGTTTTCTCTCATACCAGGGCCCAACTTTAAGGTCACCCTTCCAAGCCAGCTGACTACCAAATTTAATGTCAAAAGTACATTATTGTGATTGACATCGTAAACAAATAGACAACAAAATGTCAAAATAAATTTTGACATTACACCTGGGCAAATGTGAAATGAAAACTTTTAAAAGGGAAAGAAATGTCAAATGAAAAAATAAGGATAAAAACAGCCATGAGGCTATGTCTTCCAATTATTGGTTTTGAAAATATTTTGTTCTTCTTTTTTCACAACAATAAATTCATACACAAAATTGGCAGAAGTCGGGCACACTTAGAAAAAAACTGTAATCAGCTGGTAGCTCTACCTTACCTTTTTACTGTACCATACCCCCATCTTTCTATGGAGGGTATATTAGCTTTGTCATTCCGTTTGTAAGTCCTCGAAATATTCATGATAGACCCCACAAAATATATATATTCTGGATCAACGTAAAATTCAAGATGATTAAGCGATGCTCGTCTGTGTGTCTGCCTGTCCGTATGTCTGTAGTAATCACGCTATCTTTCGAACAAATTGAGATAGAAGACTCAAATTTTGCACACATGTGTATTTTGCCCGTAGACAGGCTATGTTCATAAATGGGCCATGTCAGCCCACATCTTCATATAGCCCCCCATATAACGTTACCTCCAAATATTCGGTATTTTGATGTATTTAGTGACATTATTCGCCGGAATTGTTTCAAATTTCGTATTCGAAGTTTGTAATGTGTTCTTCAGCCTATTCTTAAAACTTTCGTATGCAGGTTCACGTTTTCGTATAGCCCACATATAACGTTACCTGCCAATATTCGGTATTTTGATGATTTTAGCGACATTATTCGCCGGAATTGTTTTAAATTTCGTATTCGATGTTTGTAATGGGTACTACAGCCTATGCTTAAAAATTTTGTATGCAAGTCCAAGTCTTCGTATAGCCCCCATATAAAGGTACCTCCCGATATTCGGTATTTTGATGATTTTAGTGACATTATTCCCTGGAATTGTTTCAAATTTCGTATTCGAAGTTTGTAATGGGCAGTACACGTCTTCGTATAGCTCCCCTTATAAAGGTCATCATTGAAACGGTATATTTCGGAATTTTTTGAAAATTTTCAAGTTCCTTTCAAATTGTGTAGGTATTAGAAATTCGGCCCGGCCAAACAGCCGCTTTTTTACTTGTTCTATTTTTTATAATTTTTTAGAACAAAAAATCCAGCCCATGGCAAATTTAAGAAGGTAAAGACATTTCAACCAATAATATCCATCTCTGCATTTTTTGTAATTTTCCTCGTCAAAATTTCACTGAATAGAAAAAAGGTTTCCATCTCTGATTTGTGTATACACAATGGATTTATAAATATTCATTTTGACAATGAGATGTTGTCAACAAAAAAATTGCAAACATATGATTAGAAGGTACAGTCATACCTTCTTTATTCTACCATGAATTTAACATTCACAATAAACTTAATGCATTTTTTCCATAGCCAAAATTATTGTGATTGTATCATAATTAACGCGCATAAAATTTTTCCCGAAAATTGTATTTTCCATCCATCGTCCGAAAAAAATCTCTTCTACCAAAAATAAGATTATGTCAAAAGGGCTTTTCCGGACCTGCAAGAATGTTAAAATTTTTGCTTCGATAACCGATTTTCCCTTTATGATATCGAAAAAAATCCAAAACTGGTGGAATCTTGCAGTTTCTGGAACAGAGAAAAAATTGTCCCTTATTTTCGAACACAACAAATGTTGAATACCTCAAAAAAATGTTATTCGGCCCAGTCGAATATTACAAAAAAAAAAAACACACACATACACACGTATTTCTGTATCATTTATTTTTAAGAAAATAATATTCCATTAATTAACCACAAAAAATTGCAACATTTACACATAAAACAAATTATTTCAAAGTTAAGCCAAAATAATAATGATTTTGTAAAATATTTTTTAATAATATTTAAAATTATTTAAAAAAAGGAAATTTTATGATCAACTTTGATGTCGAGAAAGGACAAGTTTTATGTTTGTGTATAAAAACATTTATTTGTTTTTATGCCTAAGACATCGGTATCTTCCAAGTATCCTCCCAAAACAGCTCGAATCTCTTTGTAGATAAACAAAACATTTTGTAATATTTAAAACATTCCTTATTAAAAGAGTTGTTATTTTTTCTACAGAAATTGTATCTCTTTTATTACAAAACAATTTCCTTAATACTTCTTGCTCAATTTAATTTTATACAAACTCTATATAATCTTACATAAATATATAAACATATAATATACATCTATATATATAATATTTTATTTACACAATATCATCATCACACATGATAAACGAAAAGCTTTAGCTGTATTTTAAATTTTTAAGAAATGAAATGACGAAAGAAAAAAAACAAATTAATACTTTAGTGTTTTTTATATAACAAATTAAAAGAAAATTAATATATTATACAAATTTATTTATTGTGCAACAAAAAGAAAAGAAAGACAATTTAATAGTAAATTTATAATAAAAAACAAAAATATGTAAACCAATTTGTGTTTTATTACAAATGTATAAGCGTTACTTTGATAGTGGTATCCTTGTGAACGTAGCTTTAAAAATAAATATGGGTCATTTATGTTGAAAAAACAATAACCGTTATTACGAATGCCAGGTACAAATGTTGTGTACTGTACAAAACACCAACTTCAACAATTCACAATAGTTAAAAGCAGCAATGCAACATTGATTTGTATAACCCTAGAGTGGTCATTTATCGATTTCCATGTCCCTAAAAAGGCAATAGATGGTAGAAGTATACAGGTAGTCGCATCGACACAGCTGCTGGGACAATGAACTGTCAAACCAATTTTGTAATTGAAAATGTTGAATGAAAAATTATTTAAATTTGTACACAGTCTTGAAAAATGCATATCATAACAACCTCCGATTGGCGTCGTATAAGAAAACTGATCAAAATCTATTTATTTTTGAAAATAAATTAAAAATTTGTTTACATATCAATGTTTCCAAGCGTTGATGCATCTACCTGTATTCTTCTACCATGGTATGGAGGGTATATTAAGTTTGTCTTTCCGTTTGTAACACCTCGAAATATACATTTTAGACCCCACAAAATATATGATTCTTGATCAAAATAAAATTCTATGTCAATTTAGCGATGTCCGTCCGTCTGTACATGTGTGGAAATCACTCTAGCTTCCGAAACGAAATGAAGTAGGTTGATAAAATTTTACTAAAATGCTTATTATATATTCAGGACTTTTGGAATTGAAAATGGGCCATGTAGGTCCAGGTTTTGGTATAGCCCCCACATAACTATACCTCCCAATATTCGGCATTTTAATGATTTTAGCGACATTTTCCACTGGAACAGTTTCAAATTTGGAATTTGAAGTTCGTCATGGATACTACAGCCAGAAGATTGTCTGTGCAGGTCCACGTTTTGGTGTATCCCCCATATAACGGTACCTCCCGTTATTCGGTATTTTGATGATTTTAGCGACATTATTCGCCGGAATTGTTTCAAATTTGGTATTATATGTTCGTAATGGATACAATAGCCTATGACTGAAAATTGTCTGTGCATTAAAATTCCAAAAAGTGCAAGAACTTACACCGCAACAGAAAGAAAATAGACTCAAAAGAGCTAAAGAGTTGCTTCGCTTGGCCGAAAGTGGTGAACTGTCGAATTTGGTTTTCTCCGATGAGAAATCATTCTTTGTCCAGCAGTTTGTAAACAAACAAAAATATCGTGTTCACTTGCTAAAGAGGTCAGCTGAAAATGTGCACCTTCGCTGTCCACCAGAACTCAAGCGGCGGTCATGGTGATGTTGTGGGCCGCCATAACAGCCGATGGTCTCCGCTCTCTGCTCGTATTAATCAACCGTAGCATCAGAATAAATGCCGAATATTAACGCGAAAATATTCTGGAGGGTGTATTAAAGCCTTGGGCACGCTAACATTTTGGCCGCAGACCTTGGACATTCCAACAGAACTCAGCACGCGCCTCCAAAGAATGGTTACAAAATGAGGTTCCTCGCGCCATTTCCAGCGCACAATGGCTACCAAAATCTCCGGATACCAATCCATTGGACTATTGTGTCTGGAGTATTTTGGAAAGCAAGGTTGGCACTAAAAAATACCAAAGTGTCGATCACCTCAAGCAAGCGCTTCGCCGGGTATGGGCCAAAATACCGCAGAGCAACATTTGGGCAGCGTGTGACGGTTTCATTGGCCGTTTGAAGGCCATAATTCGTGCCAAAGGTGACCAATCCGAACAAATCTAAACTTATTCTAAAATTTGATGGCATTTCCGACATTTTTTTTGCTTTCATTCAACAAAATTAAAAAAAAATGGAGAAATTATGGCGTTTGACATGGTTCAGTTTTTATCTCACCCTGTACTAATCAAACCTCATACTCAAAGAAAAACTTAAGGTGGAAGTACATAAAAAGCTAGAAGTCTTGACTAGCATATTAATGTCAAATTATAAAGGGAACGACGGAAAATTATAAAGGGAAGGATTTTAGTGCGGCTCTGTAATCCATTTATGAAATGTCACAAAATATGCCTAGCCATGACTTCAAGCTTCTTATGTTCTTACAGCCATGGTCCAATTATTAAGCTGGGAATACATAAAGCGCTTATTTGGCTGGCTTAAGTCATCGGCTGGCTTCTTCGGAAATGAACAAAGGAGCCTAGGGCCACAATCGAACTAGGTCAACCTAAAACTCCTTTGTTCATTTAAGAAGAAGCCAGCCGATGACTTAAGCCAGCCAAATATGCGCTTTATGTATTCCCAGCTTAAGGTCTACCAGTAGGCGAATTCCCAAAAAATACAACTCCGCCACCTACGTTTATTATCAAAATCTGGTCTTAGAGCGAAAAAAGAAATGATTTCGCCTCGACACAAAAATATTACAGCGAATTTCTAACATCTGACAATTGTGACAATAAATATACCAAATATTTAAATATTGTGTTAATGTAAATGAAAAGAAATTATCTCGTAGATGTTTATGTATTGAATCAATCAATAATATATTTCTGTTTATTTTTTTTTTTTGGAGTATAGGTGGGAATATATAAAGCGCTTATCTGGCTGGCTTCTTTGAAAATGAACAAAGGAGCATAGGGCCAAAATCGAACTAAGTCAACCTAAGACTTCTTTGTTCATCTACGAATAAGCCAGCCTATGACTTAAGCCAGCCAAATATACGTGTTATGTATTTCCACCCTTTTTGTTTGGTTCATGCTTACAGCCTCATTTATTTAAATGTTTGAAGTTTATTTGTCCTTTTTTATTTTCGCCATTTTCATTTTATTATTAAAAATATCACATTATCATCATGAAATGATTCGAATTTATTTTTTACAATTTTTTATTAGCTGTCTTTATTATTATGACTGTGCCTCCACCGCGTTTCGAACGTGTAAACGAATCCACCAAAGATGAGTCCTGCTGTTGTGGCTCGACGGAAAACGAAGGCTGTGAAATGAGAAATGTTTTTCAAATTTCAAACATAAACATAAAACCATGGTAGAATTAAGAAGGTAAAGTCATGCAATTTACATTTTTTTTTTCAAATGTATTCATTTGACAGCAACTCATGTCAAAATTTATATTCATAAATCCATTGTATACACAGAAATCAGAGATGGGAATCAGTGTTTTATTCAGTAAAATTTGACAAGCTAAATCACAGAAAATGCAGAAATGGATAGTCATATTTGCCTTCTTAATCTTACAATGCATAAAACTATAACCTTACCTCAGAATCGGGCGTTTCTATGGCAAATGAGTCTCCATGAATTGAGCGAGCATAGCACTGCAGTAAATAAACCGGTTATAGAATGAAAAAAAAATAGTTATGTATATTTTTTTTTTACCTGTGCTACCACCAAAAGTACAACTAATACCACAATGAGTTTCATTATTTCAAGCTTAGATTAGTTTAGAGAATAACACGAAGTAATTGAATTCGATTTGCTTTTATAGTAAAAATTCATTTCTTATCACTTCTGACTAATCACAACATGCTTAAATGGACAATTCTGTAAATATAGGTCAAATGTCAAAACAGGAAAGGGGAATTTTTTGAATGGGCTTTTTTTTTACAAATTTACCATTGAAATATGGTACTGTAATAAAAGTAAGTGCGTTGTAAATGAGTTTTTTAAACAAAAACAATCAAAACAATCTAATCTAAAAATTATTTAAATTAAATTAAGAGCACCTCTTCTGCTTTGAGAAATAAACCTAATGGAGCCTGATTAGCTCTCTGAACTGTTCAGCAAAGTTAAGCTGGGAATACATAAAGCGCTTATTTGGCTGGCTTAAGTCATCGGCTGGCTTCTTCGGAAATGAACAAAGGAGACTAGGGCCAAAATCGAACTAGGTCAACCTAAAACTCCTTTGTTCATCTACGAAGAAGCCAGCCAAATATGCGCTTTATGTATTTCCAGCCTTACTTCCAGGAAAGACTTGTAAATTACTTTTAGTTGTATGTTTAACAAAAAACCCTTAAGATATTTTATTAAGATTAAAAAGTAAAAAAGCTGTAATTTCGGCCGTGCTGAACTTTTAATACCTTCCACCAAGGTCTGCGGCCAAAATGTTTGTGTGCCCAAGGCTTTAATACACCCTCCAGAATACTTTCACGTTAATATTTGGCATTTATTCTGATTCCACGGTCGATTAATATGAGCGGAAAGCGACCATCGGCTTTTATGGCGGCCCACACCATAACCATGGCCGGCGCTTGAGTTCTTTTGGCCAACCGAAGGTGCACATTTTCAGCTGACCTCTTTGGCAAGTAAACACGATCGTTTTGATTGTTTACAAACTGCTGGACAACGAATGTTTTCTCATCGGAGAAAACCAAATTGGGCACTTCACCACTTTCGGTCAAGCGAAGCAACTCTTTAGCTCTTATGAGTCTATTTGCTTTCTGTTGCGGTGTAAGTTCTTGCACTTTTTAAATTTCAATGGCTTTACCCCGAGCCGAATGGAATATTGCGATATGTTCAACTCACGAGTCATTTTGCGGCCACTGCGATGCGGGCTTCGATCAAGTCGCTTCTTTACTCTTCGAACCATTTCTGGTGATGTTGTTGTTCGACGTCGTCGGGCTAAGCTACCAGTATCACGGTAACGAGCGTTGGTACGAAACACAAAAGATTTATTCACATTTAAATGCTGGAGTGCTCTAACGATAGCCACTTGTGGTTGTAATTTTTTCCTCTCACCCTGTACAATTCAATTGGAGTCATTAAAAGTTACTGTCACCAACTGAAATGTCGTTACATATTTAATGCTTATTTATCTAAAGTCCTGGGGCTGGATTTTTGTTCTATGAAAATATGAAATGAAAAATATTTTCTTTATAAAATTTTTC